GTCGGTTTATGCTCTTCAATGAAAGGTAACAGGCATAAGTAACTAAGTAAGACTCCAAAGTACCTTAAGTAAACCATGCGAGCTAGTCTATTCAGACTATAAACAATATTAGTCCCTGAAATATTAAAATGTAGATTTCATCTGTTCACAAGTCGGCTACCGACCACTGAATTGTCTCAAACTCAAAAAGGGACATTCATTTATTGTCTATAATTTTTCAATGATTCATTATATATGATGTCGACGGGTGATAAAAAAATCAACTTTCAGATACATATTTAGAGAATATAAAATGGTCGGTTGTTATAACGTTTTAAAAAATCAGCATAATGAAATATCATTCTTATGTGTAATAATAAAATTTCGATTATTTAGTTACAATAAAGATTATTGATTAATGCTAGGAATTATATGTCACTTTATTTCGTAACCATGTGTTCTGGAATTAAAAAAATACACATAAATATGAACTTAAACTAGGAAATAAAAAACGTTTTCGTCAAAAATCGAACTGGAACTTCATCAATGAGAATATAAGTTTGTATTTGACAGTATGGAGATTTGTGGAGATTGTAGTAATTTCGAAGTTGAATTCATTAATCGATATGAGCTAGATCAACATTGAAAATCCGGAGGCAGTGAATGACCGTTTCGTCCAAGTTCGGGACTCTTCAGCAGTGCACATCCACAATCCTACATGCAAGAATCGAATCCAGGACTCTCGATCTCAAGCGCGAACACCAAACCTCTAGACCACTGATCCGGCATCCAACATTGTCAATGTCTAACTTTAATCGATCCATGATCTTGTGTAACCCCTCATAAGTTGTCTAAGGCGGATAACTGTCTACCCGACATGAACTGGACTCTACTCACTCTACTCTGGTGAGTACACGATTATTATCAGAATGGGGATTTGTGGAGGTTGTAGTATTTTTAAAGTTTAATTCACGAGTCCATCTAAACTAGACAAAAAAATGGATGACAAAATACTCTTCTGCCTTATCATTTATGTCAGAATTATTGATCAAGCTGCAATTTTTAATGGAGTAGTCAAATAAAGCGACAAATATGCAGAAACAATATTAAGTTTTATAAATCTCTGTTAATAAATTCTCGTTGATAGGTATCATAAGGACTGCTCTTGGGTGAACTCAAGGAAGATCTGAAAGATCTAAACATATTCCATCCAATCAATTATTTGGAATAAAATTCTTTCTCATTTTTATTTTGTCTTCTAATTTGGGACTTGGAGGGTTCAAGTGTTTATTTGCTCAAGTTGTACACTTTATAGCCAAAATCTAATCTCTAGATATAACATAATATGATGTTAACAAAATATTCAAACAAAATCTTAGATTATTAAATAGACGGATGAATAAATTAGTAAAGATTATTCAAATCAGATTATTCGTAAAACCTATTAAAGTTAATTGAGTTGCAAATAAAAACCTTTTTTAATAGTATAAAATTAAATTTTCAACGAAATTTACTCAAAATTAAAACAAAACAGTTAAGAATTAAAAATTCCACATCAAAACACAAACTAAAGGAAATTGTTTATCAATTTTGGTCATTTGGATAGAGAGTATTCAAAATAGATTATTTCATATGAGTAAGTATGGTTAAGGAAGTAAGATGTGTAGTGTGTTTTGTTGTGTTTGTCAATAAATTTATGATTATCAAGTTAAATGAGCAAATAAAACAAAATAAACGAATTAAGTAAACTATGTCTAACAAATTTATGCCGAAAATAATATAATCCGTGCAATATATATAAATGTCTAAGATGAATTATTATGATGCAGGACAGGAAATTTAGTTTGTATTTAGTTATTCTTTTCCTTCACTCGAGAATTGAATATGTAGTTCCAGGCTATTTAAATTTGTGACTATAATTCCGAGTATTTTTTTTGTTGTTGGTTGAATTGATTATTATCCTCATATTTTAGGTAACTTTTCACTTCACAGCATTTCGTAGATTGCTTAGAATATACAATAGATGATAGAAAGATAATAATGATAACCATATAATGTGGTCTCATACATCTTGTCACTTGATAAGTTTAAATATAGCAAAAGAAATAAGATTTCCAAGACAAGATCAATTCACTGAATCTTAAAGTTTTCCTTCAGCTGTTGTTTGAATTTCACAAGTTAAATTGAATCACTGACTGTTTCACTTATAATGTAGGTCTGTTGTCGTAAGGATTGTCAAAGAAGTATGTAAATCTTATCAAAGCTCTCGCAACAAACATTTTTTTCCCTAAAAAAGTAGTTTACATTTTTAAATCTAGTCAGTTTGCATTATAAAGTTGAACTACATTGAATATGATTATTCATTGAGACTTTGAAAATTGTCCTCAAATCTAATATCTACTGCACATAAGAATACTAATTAAATTTGAATGTTTTTGTTAGAATTCATCTTCTTTCCTAGTGTTTTGTATGTAAAGCAAATGATATCTTGCCGCATTCATCAGTATAAGCATTCTGTTTATGAATGTTGCAAGCAATTTTTCAAAGAAGTCGGCTTGTACATTCTTTATACACTTTATGAATAACATTTTTATTGTATAAATTGCTTAAATGTGTTTCATCATCCAAATCATGAGTCGTTTAACTTCTCAACAATGTAATTATAAAGCGACTAAAGCAATTTATTCATTTATAATATTTAAGTAGAACCTTATTCAAGTAAATTACTGAAATGTTAGTTCACTTCAATGAAAACATGATCAAAGTAATAGAATCTAGACTATGAAAGAAATGACGATTGAATTTAAGCGTTCTTTTTGATATCAGTTATTTTTGTTTGTTTTTAAGTTGAAAATTTATACTTAACTTGACGGCCAGTTTAACTTTTGACAAAATTCACCGAAATCAGTTGATTTATTAATATACATATAAAACAATGAATAATAATAAAACTCCTTTATGTATGTGTGTATTTATGTATGTATATTTCTTCCTAAATACCCTAAAAAAATAAATAATACCGACAAAAAAATACACGTAAAGAAGAACGAATTCACTTAATTCGGCTATGCTCTTATTTATTATTTTTTCGCAACACATAGTGTTCAGTTGTCAAGGTAACAAGAATATTTTAAACATAATCCAATTCGATCATGGAAATTAAGTCGTAAAGCAAAATAAATAATTGAATAATGGTATGGTATAAACAAAATTTTAAGGAATTAAAAATTAACTTGATAAGAAATGATCTCCTCTTCCATTCATACAAGTTACTTTGTCAAGTGATCACATGAAAAACGATATGTATGACGAAAGAGATGAGAATATCATATGATACATATATTGTACACTTGGAGTATATGCTAACTGATGAAAACTGTGAGAAAACTTATGTGAAATAGCAGGCAGTTATTTTATTACATTAGAAATAAAGTTTACTTACGCCTGTTAATCCTCTTGAAGGAGCATAGGCTGCTCACTAGAGAAATAACGTTTACTGTAAAGTAAAAATTTGATCCTAATGAACAATTGGGGAGTTTGTAAATATAGGTTTAAGGTTAATAATTGGTTCTTATTTGTTGAATTTATTCAAATATTCCAAAGCATGTACCTGATGTATTGGGTTTATCGAATGAACAAATAAAATTGATAAATATTCTAATTTATAACCTCTGTCGTAGGACTTTTATCCATTTCGTTTGATAGATACACGTAAATCGATTTATTTGGTAGAAGGTAATGCAGAATATATAAATTTAAAGAATGTTACTGTCAACATGATATCAAAATATACGTCTTTTAACTCCAAACATGACTCTATTCATAATCTATAAATACAAATATCTATGACAATACCATATCTATAGGAGCATATTATTTGGAAAAAAAAATGAGATGAGGAATTCTAATTCCACTTTACTTGCATTAGGTTGCGCAAACATGCAACAAAAACCCAAACTTGTCAACAATTGTCTGATTATGAGTGAGAAGTTATAACTAGTAAATTTTGGTAGAATTCCAAGATAAATCAAGGGATCAGAGTCATCATATGTTCTATCCTTAAGATCAAACTAAGCCATATGATAAAACTTTAAGAATCATATTTTAAACATTAATTCATTGTTACTTAAGTGATTTAGAAGAAACTGTATTTTTGTCAGTGTCCTAATTGGACAATATTGTGTCGACTGAACAGTATAAATCAATAAATGAATTCATTTGTTCAATGATCAACATCTAAACGTTCAGAAGAAGAATAGTTCATTTCTAGGAGGATATTTATTATAAAGTTAAATGAAAATGTAACCATCAGTAAAGGGGTTGTGGAGATTGTTAAGTTTTTGATTGAGATCATGAATCAATTGATGTTAGACCACCGTTGGAAACCTGGAAGCAATGGACGGCCGTTTCGCCCTATTATGGGACTCTTCAGCAGTGCGCGTCCACAATCCCGCTCCTTGCGAGATTCGAACCCAGGACCTATCGGTCTCGCGCCAGGCGCTTAACCGACCAGACCACTGAGCCGGCATGCAATGGTGTTGGTGTCTAACATCAACCAATCCACGAAATCGCGCGACCAACTTCCATTGTACTGAGGTAGATACCTGTCTCTACGCGACACTAACACCACTGGATGCCGGCTCAGTGGTCTAGTTGGTTAGGCGCCTGGCGCGAGACCGATAGTTCCTTGGTTCGAATCTCGCAGGGAGCGGGATCGTGGATGCGCACTGCTGAAGAGTCCCATACTAGGACGAAACGGTCATCCACTGCTTCCAGGTTTCCAACGGTGGTCTAACATCAATTGATTCATGATCTCAATCAGAAAATGTAACCAACTGGAAAACTATCAATTCAGATGATCTTTGACTGTTTACACAAGCTACATCGAAATTTCGAAAGTAAAGAGTTTCGATAAGATCTACATACATTTTAACAGTCCTCATAATAACAGATCTGTATTATGAGTGAAACAATGAGTGATTCAACTTGATAAATACAATCTAATTAGAACTAACGATCAATCAATATGATAGCCATGTATTTCTAGATAATTCAAATATTTGGCTTATTCCAAGTATTTTGAAGAAAAGAAAATAACATTGAATCAAATCATCATTATAATGTTTTATTCATATGAGATTTCAAGAAATTAATCAACTACAAATTATTAAAATAAAATAAATTATAATCTTAATTGCATCACAAATGTGTTAATAGTAAATGATTATAGTTTTCATTGCCAATTCACAATGACATTCAAAATGTAATGCTAATTCATGATATTATTTATTTGTCATTAACTATACAAATGAGAATGTGTCAATTAATATTGAGTTACTTTCTCCTTTACAATATAACTAATGAATAAACTGTGTTATTATCATTTTATGTTGTTTTTCCAACGTTGTATAAGACGTATTTTAAAGTTCATAGGTAGAATAGTAAAAAAAAAGAAAAAGAAAGAGAAAGCAAATTATGAAAGATTAGAAAACAGGACAAATGTCATCGCTAAGATTCAATATAATGAAGTAATGAAGAAGTTTGCAGAGAGAAAGAAAAAGTTATCATCAACTTTATTAATACTAGTATTCTTTTAGTATTCTATTGATATATGTATTGTTTGTTATCTATTCACAGTATGATAGAAGAATTAAATAAAGAGACATGTTAGAAAAAATAAGAATTTTTTACAAACTCTTATAAGAGTATAAATGAAATGAGATACTCTAAATAAATGTTTTGTGAATTTTATAATAAATCTTTGTTAACATTTTAGTTGATTGAAATAATTCTTTTATTAAATGTGCAAAACGGGAAAAAAACATTATTGACAAGAAAAATAACACAACCAAAATAGTAATAGGACTCCATATGTTAAGAGGTATTATTCATTTTCCATGGAATATTCGTTGAGAGATTCTTTTTTATCTCTCATAGTTGATGATTTTGCTACGGTTGTAGTAGTAGTAGTAGATGTGGTTTTACTACAGTTATTGAGATTATTTGTTGTTTGACTACGGAATGGTAAACGTAGATTAGAACAAACATCAGCTGCAAAAGATGCAATTTTATCTTTCGGTTCTTTAGGTAAATGTTTATTCACAGTATTTTTCATGGCAGTTGACATAAATACCATTGTGGATTGAATAAAGTCAACTCCTGCAGATCCAGAATTCAATTTACTCTTCAACTGCTTTGTATCCGTTAGTAATGATGATAACGATGAGAACTTTTCAGTTTCTTGTCTAAGTAAATAAAAAAATAAGAAAGTTAAGTTATTAAATACATAGACATTAATGTGCAAACCGTTGAATTACTGACAATCATTGAACATTATAGTATTACAGATCAGTATTCTTTTGGCAGTTAACTTCACGAGGTTATGGGATGTTGCTACCAAGTACATCTGGTCGTTTATGCCAAGCAGAGCGTCACTGAATTCATTAGGTGTCATTTATTAATTTATATCTCTGTAGTTAGTGTTCAACCAGGCTGAAACTTGGTTTGGAGTAAAACTCTGAGCTGTTTTCACTTGTTTAAATGAGGATTTTGTTCAAAATATAACATTAACAACACTTTATATGTAGATCGATTGCTAAGAGACATATAAATAAAACTGAATTTTTTCTTTGATTTTGAACTATACGATTTAACAAGATTTTATGCATCTCAATGATAATAGTAGTCCTAGTCTACTCGATTCTTTTAACAAAGTAGAAATCTTAAAACTTTGATTATGATTTCAAAAGAGACTATCAGAAGTAACTTTATATCATCAAATGAATTCAGCTGGACATCCAATAAAAGCTAGATGAGAGTTCAGTCACGTTTCAAACGGAACAGGCAGATGGTGTTTATTCATTAACACATTGGCTGGAATTAGGAATATGAACTGATTGGTACAACCTCGACGGATCAAACACTGCTGTACTCTTATACCGTCTAGTCCTATGTCACACCTAAATGGATTAGTCTGACTTTCGAATAGAATAATTAATTTATTATTTCTAAGTCAGTATCCTCACGTATTATCACCTGGTTACCTTTATATAAGCGTGTGTGTACATCACTTAGTGTATTCATCACACATCTTCAACTTATTTTTCTGCCTGATTATAACCAGTGTGTGAGGCTTTATCAAATCAAGTTGGTACGCTTACTTTCTCCGTTTCGTTTTGCTTCTCATCTTAACGCCTGTCTGAGTAGACGATTGCATGAAATAAATTCACCTAACTTAATTCTTATTGTTCTTCTCACTACCACCGTCGCTCAAACGGAGTCAGCCTAAATATAATAGGCGGAATCAACCCGGAAATTTCTACGCATGACATGTTCATTTATACGTTCAAATTGGAGCCAGATCACGGGCCACGCTAAAGTGGCAAGCTTGCCAGGATACAAAGTGTGTGAAATTATTTAGCACTGCGACAGTGCTCTTTGAATAAGGGCCAGCTATGTAGCGGGTTAGAAACTTCACGTTATCTTGCTCTGATGTTTGTGTTATTACTTATTGTTCTTAATTACTTTCGTTATTCAACGTGAATGCATTTTGTGCGCTTGCTGCGTTGTTGGCTCAGATTTTCTCAGTTTTTTTTCTCTTTATCAGCTCTCCTAACCCACGCTTCATTGCGTGCTCATCTAGTACACGGAGTACCTTCTGACAAGATGCAAACCGCTACACGATCACTAACAAAAGAAGGATTTGGAAAGTGTTGGTCCCAAAATTAGCACACCTGATCCCGTCAGATAGATACCAGGTGTCAGTGGTAGTACCCTTAAAGTGTTAAGCTATTACATATAAAATTACTAATAGGAAGCCCGTTTATGACTGGCCTCAAACAATTGTCAATCGGGCATTGCGGTCACGCTCTCAGATTACCAAAACCATCCTTAACCGTTTTCTTCGGAGGTACCCAAAGAATAAATAAGTTTCTTTGGTGTGGCCAACCGGGAAGTCATAACTATTGTCATACTTGTGACTGGATTCGAGATCATCTCGTTCACAGTTAAACGTCAGTAGCTTCATATTAAGCAGAAATAGATGTTTGATAATCATTCGTTGTTAATTATTATTCTTGATTAAAGCGATTTGTCGTAAATATTAAAGTGTACAACAATTACAACCTCACTATTCTTAAAAAAATTCAGATACTTTTTATGAGCATTCGGTTAAGTTCAATTGGTCGTATCTGGAACACTTGAGATTACCAGATATTTTACAAGGAACTATTTCTAACAATTGTATCCCACTCTTCACATAGTAATGATAATTAACATGTAATTGAATTTGTTTTATTATTGTGCTTTAAATATTTCTGTCAAAATGGTAGTTAATCACAGAGCAATCAACACAAGAAATTCTATAACAAGATAATTGACTAACTTCATGAAATTTTAATTACAAACTAGGGAAATGTAGTTTATGACGTTACTACTTTCGGCGAGCTCTAACCTGGAATCTTGAAGGGAAACGCAAAAAAGACCGAAGAACACACTGCACCGTGAAGTGAAAGCAGACATGAAAAGGATGAATAGAGACTAGAAACAACTGGGAAGGATTGTTCGGGACAGAGTTGGATGGAGAATGCTGGTGGTCCGCCCATGCTCCTCTACGAGCGGTAACAAGTGTAAGTACCGTCTGCAATGTGTGTAGTCTACCATTTTTAACATGAAGTAGACTCCTCATTATGATGTAAATTCTATCAAGTGTTTAAAAAATGCTAAACTAAGGAAACTTTGTTTTTAAACACGCTGGACTTGAAATGAATATGACTGATAATATCATATGTCGATAAAAGAAAAATAATTATTTTCTCATAGAATAAGTAGTTTGAGAATAAAGTTTCTAAATAATTTACTATTTTGACTGGACAGTAGGAAGACGGTTTCAGTCTAAAATATTTGGTCATACATACTTGTCAATGTATTTTGTACGAAAGCTAATGAAGGTCAGTCAAATGAAAGTCAAAGTAAACATAGCGATAACTGTCAGTGAGAGAAAAAAATTAATACGATATGGGAACAATTGGTAATTTTCACACTAACACAGACCGTGAAAGGACTTAAACATTATTACGACAGATTCGAGAAGGATTTGTGAGTAGCCACGGCATCTACAAACCTTAGGATTTGTCCTTGAAACTTCCTGTCTAACGCTTTAAAAGCTGCATCAACGTCAATCTTATAAACGCTTCAATTATTTAATTCGGAATCAATGAACATGGTTTTCTACTTCCGGAGAATTAGAAAATAAATTTTTATGAAGCCATTATCCATTATCCTTGATTGTAAGATTGCTCGAAATCTAGAGCACAGATATATCATATTTTTCAGATCAAAACCCTTTTCTCATTGTTTTATAAAAATTTATAAATGGGACTAATTGGTTTGTTTCAAATACTGTTTCTAAAAGCGTAATGACAAAAGTGTATTAAATAAGGATATTTACAATCAATTTTGGAGTATGTCCATCCATTTTCACAAAACTATTCACTTAACGTGTCAAAATAAATGACTGAAACTCACTATATAAACTGAATAAGTCAGTAGAATGAAAATGTTTCAGTTAATTCCCATTTAATTATCGATGCAAATTCAACCACAATAATGTAATAGCAATGATGACCGGATGCTCATCATTTCTTTAGCCATAATTGACCAATGTTGGTAATATAATCCACTGAAATCCAATTCATTATTTAAAAAGTATCTTACTGATTGTAAAAAAACTAGATTATTATAGATACCAGTTTCTGTAAAGTTAAGGTAACGTATTTACCGAGTAGTCCTAATTTAAGGCAAATACAACATTTTAACATCCTATAATCTACATCTGTTTTACTAACTAATGTCAATTAGGTATACAATTAACTTTGAAACCAATAAATTCATGATAACTGCTACTAAATAAATAACTTTTATTCTAAATAATGGAAAGGATTCAGTAGAATTAGTTTACTCTCTCACTCAATTATCCGTTCGTTTTATAATTGAATAATTCATGTTAAAACAAATAGAATTCTTTTTATTTGCATTGTAAGTTGTTTTGAAAACAGAATGTAACGAGACAGTTCATGAATAAGATTGGACTATATATATATTGATGTTATAAATATAGAACGTAGCATTTCAACGAAATGATGATATAACAGTAAAATAAAATTAAGCCTTTATAGTTTGTTAAAATTTCTATCTATCACAATGGAGATGAAAGGAAAAAACAATTGCATTCTAATTGACAGTTTTATCAGTATTCTATCTATTCTCTCAATATCATTTCTTTTTCCTATCTTTCTAATTTATTTTTAAATTATTGCATTTATTTTTAGGCTACGGATTTACTTATTATTATTATCATTATTATTATTATTATTATCGTTTTAATAGTGACAGAGGGAAAGGAATATTTTCCCAGTAAATTAAACATTGTTTTCTTTCTAAACAAAAATTCCTGACAAGACGTTCATTCTCTCGCTTCATAATTTTTTTTGGCAACAATCTAATTTCATTCTAAAACAGTTGTGTTTTTTTTTTAATATTGACGCTTATATTTAGATTTCTTTAGAGAGAAAAACAAGCAAACTAAGTTACTCATAAATCCTATGATAATTCCATTTAAGTGTCTATTTGAGATAAAAGAAAACAATGAAAAGTGGATGTGAATTCAGTTTGGTTTAAGGTTTACACTAGTATTTGATAAATTTATAGAAAATATACAGTGTATTATTGTTAATATCATCAGTGAAGATTTCTAATTTCTTGTTGAATTAGCTTTGTATTGCTTGGATGTATGAAAGAATTCTATTTTAAATGGAATACAGATTGTACTTGTCGTCATACTTGGGATTTATCATCCAGCTGTATTTGTATTTTTGTTGACTTTCAGACTGAAACTCTATTAGATCTAAGCAGATATTCAGAGAAGGTGAAATTTTAAGAAATGTTCTAAGGAGAGTTGTTACATTTTTATTGTGTAACCAATAAATACTTGAATTATGGTTTTCTGATATTCTTCTAATTATACGCCTTTATTTGATTCAAACATTACTATTATCTACTTTACCGTTTCAGAATTATCGATAATTAATTATTAACCTGATGATTCTGTTTTTTATCACTTATAACTTAGTTATCTACAAATCATGCTTTCTATTTTGTTCTGTTATGCGGATTTGTAATCATCGTATGTAGTTCTGATTTTCTGAGTAAACCTGATAGTAAAGAATAGAGAATAACAGAATGTTTATTTGTTTACTATGCTCATATTTTGAATAGCTATTTTGGTTAGAATAAGCTGATCAAACAATTGGATTTAGGCCATTGTTAACATTAATATGTTACTGGTAAAGAGAAAAGTTATTAGTCAGAACGGCATAAAGCGAACTAGTATTTATCAAGTAACCGGATTATGAGTACGATTATAAGAAGCTAAATATAAAATAGACCCCAACTCAGTAGATATACAGTTTAGTTCTCAATGATAACCGTGAGAAAAAATAGTCCTATATTTAGCAAAACTTTATATATATATATATATATATATATATATATATATATATATAATTTTTGAGAGCTATCGTGAGCCAATAGTATAGCGAATAATATTCTAATGGAAAAGCCGATACGTAATATGTTTCAAGGTTTAGTGGAGATATAACTTAAATGTGAATGCATTCCAAATAAAACAAAATGTGTGAACTAGATAGCATTAATAGTCCCTATACAAAATATAGGTCCTTAATAACTACTCTTGAAATAAATCCTGAATATACACTATGTTATCAGCATTTTTTAATTAAATGTATCTATATGTACGTAGAAACCTTAAAGATGTTATTAGGAATACTATGCAGTTTGTAGGCTTATAATAATAAATACTGTCATTTATAATACAAGAACAATCTACAACATTTGTTCATATACTATTAAATAATGCAAAATTTAAACTTTATACAATAATAAAGCTCTGTAATCGAAAATTTCTGTTAGTCAATTAGGATCTGTTGAGGACGTTAGATCCCTAGGTGAACTTGTAATCGCCTCAAACATAGCAGGATTATTTTTTATCCTTTGCATAAAAAACAATGAATGACTAAAAAAGTGTACATTTTAAAAGTAAACACAACATTTTTACTATATTTGATACTTACTCTTGAATAACATTATCTGGTTGATGTTCAGTAAACATTGTACTATGAAAACATTTTAATGAAGATTCACCAGATTGATTATGAATCTTAATAGATTGATAAATTTCTTTTAATAGGTTTAAAGGCACCTGATTTTGAAATCGTATGATAAGATATTTTTGAATAAATTCATCGTAACTGCAGGATATTTTGGAAAGAAAGAAAGAAATATAAGGATTATTGAGACATTATTCATTTCAAGGAGGAAACAATAAAGCAATTATTAATAACCATGTATACTGAATTGAATATTAAAATATGAGGCAAGTGAATATTGAATATATACGGAGACAATTGAAACATTTTGAATAACAAGATAATAACACGATGAATGGTGTAAAAAATGGACAATTACATTCATTATATCATGTCTAAATCTTTCAGATCTAGATTGATTGTTATCAATAAATAAATAAAATATTTCCTAAATGTCATTTTTTGTGTGTCACATGGATGAATTAATTTAGTTCAGCAGTGAATTCTAACAATAAATGCTCTATATATTTTAAACACGCTTAATTCATATACATGAATTAATTATAAAAAGAAATTATAATGGTCTTCCATTAGTAAACTAAATGAATTTATACATAGTGTACAGTCAATTATATTTATAAAACGTTTTTGTTTAAAGTGTTACAAAGTAAAAGGGTATATGGAAGATTTAAAACACAACAAATAAAATGTATTCATGTCATCCCAATGTGTTTGTTGTACTTGTTGTAATGAATGGACAGAATTATTTGTATGAAACATTTGGAATGATTGAATAAATAAGGTTGTAAAAATCAGTCAATGATACTACATTTCATGATTAACAACATTTATTTAAATTTTGTTTAATTATAGGTATTAATACCAAGGTTGGACTTGATGGTTTCAAATAAATTGACATTGGGTAGAAAGTTAATAATAAATTTATTTTTTGTTATATCCCAATAGGTGGAGAAAATGCATTTGTGACGTTTCGCGACTTTATGTAAGCTACTTCTTCAGAGTAGATAAACAACTGAATTTCGATTGTACCAAATACATTATGCATTGTTTCATTTGTAGCATTTAAACTTGTGTTGATTTAATTCAATTATTTACTTACTCTGAGGAAGAAGCTTATGTTAAGTCACGAAAAGTAGGAAACACAATATCTCTGCTCATTCGGATATATATTTATTACTAAGTTTAATTATGAATGATGAAAAATGAAATTTAAAATAGTCACATTTGTTTTAAACAACTCTGTAGAATGAGAAAAATACGTATTTGAAATCTTGTTTAATTTAATCGACATCAGCATTTTCAATTAATCAAAACTTTAAACGCTATAATTGTAACGAAACAATTAATTTATTGTACTTGGTCACTTTGTAGTTATCTAAACGAAAATAAGACTGTTCGGGAATCCTATGAAAAAATCAAAATGAAAACTAAGTGCGATTTTATTTACAATGGATCGACTGTGGCTAACGGTGGGTATCAGGTTTATCGTTTGATCTGAGTTAGGACTAGTCCTCAGTGTTAACATTCATATCAAGTAAATCTGCCCAGGATCTACGAATTGCTTAATTTAAAGAACCGGAAAACTCAAACTCTTCCTAATAATGATGTGAAATAAAATTTTAAATAATTGAAGTGAATGTTCCACAAATAATAAAGATATGTCTATCATAAAATATTTAGTTTAAGAACGTCAAAATAGATTATACTTTTGATAAATCTAGATAATACGGTGAAAATACACAATTTATATAACTGATGTGACATATTATTATTAAAAAAACTAGACATACTGTTATATAATTAGAAAAATAGGTCCCCATTGATAAATTAGTACATAAGAGAAAACAAAGATAATAAGGAAAAAACTGCATGAATTTTATCCTTCTGGATATTAAAACTAAACATTCATGTCACAACAAGTAACAACAATAGGTTTTTTAACTGGTATGGTTTTTACTTATCTAACACCTACCTTCTTGAAATTAGATCCCAGCCTATGTTCAGCTCAATCCTCAACATCAAAAGACATAGAATTGGCTGTTTTGTAAAATATAACTGACAACTATGAACAATAGTTTTGAAACTGAAGAAAAATATTATGTTCACTAGAATCCATATGAGATGAGTGGAATTCCGATTGTTGCATGACGTTCTCATATGTTTAATTTAGGCAACATTTTCCTTAAAATAATTACCATGGCAACTACATAAATAAATAACATAAATGGAATACTCCTCACTAGCCTCAATAAATTGTACTATCCCTAAGTATTTCATTTATATGATGACTTTACGTTTTCTAAAAAAGACATATTCTCTATCCTTCTTGATTAGATGATCAACACTTCAAGACACAGTCATAAACAGGATAGGCATAGACAATTTCTGCCGTTCTTGTGTTTGGAAAATTTTTTTCTCATCCTGTTTTTTTTCTCATACTTTAATTTAAATAGATTTAGAAAATCAGTCAAAGAATTTCTTACTTCATTTATCATTGTTTTCATTTCTCCACTTTTTTTTCCTTTTTTATTTTATTGTATATCCATGCTCAAAAAAACAAGTTGATTTTAAATAAATGGCAACGTAAATCTTATTAAATTGATGAATTTTAAAGCAAGAATAGGTAACTAAATAATAAATGAATTAGTTTGTTTATGAAATGAAATTTTTAGAAAGAAAACAGTAAATATTTTCTTTTTATTCAATGAAAAACAAACAACAAATGGTTGACTGAACAAATAAGAAAAAGGCATTCATAAATAATTATTTAATACACAATTTATTATACTGAATTAGTATATTCTATGAAATTTTGATAATTTAAATATGGAATAATACGTATTTCTGTTAGAAAAGCTTATAATGAATCAGTCAGTCAGTCAGCTACAACGTAGAACCAGGCATATATATGCATCGGTCCAAGTTGCCATACCACATTAACACAACAAGATGGACACCGGATTCATAAAAGTAGTTAATTCAGTGATGGTAATATATAAAAGAAAGATTGCATATACAGATATAGTACAGGAAGAAAGAATTAATTCGTAGAAAGAACGATATGAAGAGATTTTAATCTCTTAGTTTAAGAGAAGGCAGGGAGTGTATACACCGACGCCATTGTGATTGATTCTGAGCCATGTCACCAAGTCTCCAATCATTGATTACGATAGTCACGCGGACCCCAACCAAGTAGTCTGTATCTACCAGCATGGCTCAGACTAGAAGTTAGTGACTTTGTGGACTGATGCTACGTTTTGGTTTGGCCGCCCCTAACTTTCTTTCAACCATCTCCAACACCGGTTAGCATTGCACGTCGTGGTAATCGGTGTTCGGGCATACGTAACACGTGGCCCAACCATCTTAGTCGATGAAGATTCACAACCTCATCAACTGATTTACCATCATTCCCTAATACCCTGCGTCTAACTTCACTATTACTTACCCGGTGATCCCAGCAGACGCCAGCAATATTTCTAAGGTATCTGCGGTCAAATACTAATAGCTTACGAGTATCTTCTACTCTTAATGGCCATGTTTATAATGAATAGGATTAAGATAATAGTATTATATTCATTTCTTTTTCGATATCTAAGATACTTTTGTATTTTATTATCTTACATAATTGTAGCATTTGTTCTATACACTTCGGCAGTGCCTCCTCCCTGTACACTAGGCTATCGAACTCCACCATCAACCGCTCCGTGACTGTCTCCCATGTCGTCTTTCCGCCAGCACCGTCCAAGCTGTCATATACAGCCTTCGCCCTGCCTCTCAGCAGCGTCCCCAGCACCACCATCTTCGCCTCCGGCTCCTTCACTTCCACCAGCCCCGCCACGGCCTCAAACTCCTTCAGGAAACCCACCACATCTCTGTCCTCAAATTCGTTCGGCCATGGAATCTTCATCCTTAGTGGAGGCAGCGACATCAAATGTAGTGAGGGTGAACACAGGTGAGGATAATCGAATTATATTTAGCACAAAATTACAGAATTACTTGGTAAAAATAGAAAAACCATACTATAATATCTAATTTGCGAAATGTTAAATAATTGTCTCGAACTTCATTGTTCTTGCATTTCTATTCTAATTGCTCTCTATTCTTGTTCTTCCTTTTTTGATCTTCTCAATCTTCTGCTGCCAGACATTACATTTCTGACTCACGTTATATACTACTTATGTCAATGTAAGTAGCACGTACCATACTGTTAGTTTATATATATGGCCTTAAATGATAAGAAATAATGTTTGACTAGAATTAAAAAATATAATGTAACATCTAGCTTATGCTAAAATGAAATTAAATATGACATATTTTCATGTTATTACATGTAGAAAGTTGAGAAAGTTGCAAAGATTCAAAATTCGCACTAAATAGTTGAAAAGTGAACATTATATTGTTCATAGCCATAGAAATGTTTAAACGTTTTATAGTATGTTTAAATGCTTCTAAATTCAAGAGTTCATTAATAGTTATTCTGTGATTAAAAGATTTGCTTAACAATCAGTTATTTTACTTTTTTTTATATCATGGATCTTTTTCACAATTTAGTAAACACTAGAAAACTATTAATTATGAAAACAGTGTAAAGCGTTAGTTTCTGATATTTTGTCATTAAAATAATACATCTACGAAAGATAATATTAGTTATCTATAATATACTTTTAAAGAATTGATGCGTAAACATTTGATGGTAAAAACACACTGAAATTTAATATTTTCAACTAAAGTAATCAAGCTGACGTGACCATGGAACCGTTTAAAAAGAAATTAAAGTAATTCCTTATTTTACAACGATATTTTATATCGACCGTATCCCTCAAAGATTGTTTTTAACCGATTAGTGTCAACAAAAAAGTTTTTTACAGAAACTACATATTAGAGGTAAACAATTGGATGTAGGTAAAAAGGAAAAGATTGGCTAATTTATTTGTTTTTTTCCTTAAAAGAACCATAGGTTTTTTCATATTTCAGCTTGCTAAAGTGAATCAATATAGTTGCATATTAAACTGATCAATGGTTAACTTTAAGGAAACTGTGGAGACACTATAATTCATGGACGAACTAGTTAGGCATATGATAACAGCTCTAAGATTTTGGCACGAAATCCATTTATCCATTTGGTTAGATAGCTTTCTGTCATTTTAGCTGATGTTGGATCGTGATCAAAGCCCAAAATCTAGTTCCTAACCCTAACCATCAACTGTGAATCTTAATTCTAACTCCTAACACCACGTGATAAGCCTCATTTAGTCTTAGTGGGCGGTTATTCCCAAGGTTGTCCATAAATTATAGTCTCACCGAAACTTTTATAAGACAAACCTGTCACTAACTAATCAAAAACACATCATGTGTAGCCAATCGCTTGATATTCCAATACAAAAAATGAATCAATTAAAGAATAACACTGATGGAGTCATATGTACGATTCCTTCCTGACATCTTAATATGATTTTTTCCGAACAGTAAATTAACACAAATAGAAATGCAATTAACCATACTCAAATAATATCATGAATGTATACACTTAAATGGTCTAGGTCAATAAGTTTATAATTTTACAACCTTTATGATGTTTGATATTGTAACTTATAATAAATTCATGTCCAACATTCTCTTATATTTAAACGATTAGTACTTTCTGAACTCACTTGTACACTTCAGGTTTACATTCATAAAAATCTAAAATACCTACAAGATTGTTTATTTCATAGATTGTTTCTTATTCCGGAAACAATAACATTTTTATTTCATGTTAACCAGAAACGATTGAACAACTGATTGTATATGGCGACTTTAATTCAATAAATAAATTTCTAGGCAGTCCAAGCAATATTTCATTACTAACTTTTCTCAAAAATTTACCAAGATGAAATACAATGATTTCCCATCAGCTTTAATTGCATAGACTAAAACTGACCATAATGAATTATAGTCCAATTCATTCAGCTTAGTTCTGAAAACATTTGAATTACAAATTAAAGTAAACCTAGTCTCCGATGTTTAATAAATTATCTCAAGATTTACACATATAATCCATTAGTCTCATTGATTAAATGTCTGTAGAAAACAATTATTCAGTTATTATGTGTAATCCCATTATTAAATCCTAATAAGTATTATATCCGTTATATTCTTAATAGTCATTTGTATTATAGATGAATCTTAATGAAAATATATTTTCCATTTATTATTGGACAAATTAGAATAATAGCTGATAAAAACCAATGCTTGATCAATAGAAAAACTGCTAACCGAAAAATTGTTTACTTTGTGGCTGATAAACTATTATAAATGTGAATTTAACAGAAATCGAATATATTTTGCATCATATAGCAATCAGTAAGAATTCGTTTAAAATATAATAACCTTGATGAGTTTATTAGTATACAGGAGCCATGAATACTATTGAATTTGTAGTTCCACATCACGGATTAAATTTAATTAGGCACTTACTGATAACCTGGAAGTAACAAGCAGCTATTTCATTCTAGTATTAGATGGTCTCACAGTGTGTTCACTACCATGACTATTGTTGAACCACCAACCTTTGGAGCTCTCATTTAAATCGTAACACTCAGATCATTGAGTTGGTATTTAATGACGTACACATTTCTAAATTCAGTCTACTGGCAATATTATATGACCGTAATTCAGCAGCATTGATAATGCTTGTCTCAAGCTGAATGATTAGGATCTGTGCTCACGTGAATTTATTCACGTAGAAAAGTCAATCACTACATTAGCCAAATTGGCTCAGTAGATTCAATCATCTCCAAGAATAAAAAACATGAATGTTCTTGCTGATTAGTGCCTAGCTTGTTAAAATTGAATGAAACGTAAATAGTTTTATGGGTGGAACAAGCATTACATGCGTGTAACCATAATGATCGGCGAAATTATAATTAACTAAATTTATAAGGTAAACCCAAATAGCAGATATTCAGTAAAAAGTAGAGTAAACTAATCTATATGCTAATTTATTTGTATTGATTGTTTGAATTTTCACCTCGATGTTTAGGGATGCAATCGGTATTCGTTCATTCATACAGGTCACCTCAATAATGTCATTGATACATGCATTTTATAAGCAGATTTAAGTGGTTGCTGGTAGTGAAATCAAGAAAGCATGTTTTGTTACATTTAGGACCTATCATCTGGATATACCTACAGCTCAGTCGTAATTGTCACACTGGTACTCGAATCCTGGTTGTTTTTCGCTTCAGACGCCCAATGCCTTTTCCACATAACCATTGACTTATGAGATGAGGTGAATTTTAATTCATTTGCATTGGTTACATGAATGTTCCTGTTGATGTCACGTATATCACTAAAAAAATCATGGTCAAATCGCAGTTCATGTCATTAATAATGAGCCGAGAAAAAAGTCTATAATATCTTTAAAAGATATATTCGTTACAACCAATGCGAAGAGTACACCTACCATCAACTGAAAAATCTTATTTTTCGAAACAAATAATTCGAATTTTATAAGAAGAAAACACACTAAATATTTTAATTTTTAATAAGCAAGCGTTTAACTGAAAAAAGAACCAATCAAAAATTATATTTAAATTGCGATGTTGTTCAATAAAATGATATTTATACTATGCTACACTGATATCATATTTAAATCAGTCAACATTACATATTTTTCGATTGAGATCATGAACCGAATAATTTTAGACCACCATTGAAAACTTGGAAGCACCGAACGGCCGTTTCGTCCTATTGTGGGACTCCTCGGCAGTGCGCATCCACGACCCCGCTTGTGTGATTCGAACCCGGGGCCTTCATTCTCGCGTGCGGACGCTTAACCTACTGCACCACTGAGCCGGCATCCAATGGTGTTAATGTCTAACCTCAACCAATCCACGAAGTTGAGCGACCATCTTCCATTGTACTGAGGTAGACACCTGTTTCTACCCGACACCAATTAGCTCCACTGGTCACAGCTTCTCACCAGAACTTCAAGAATTTTCTCACGAAGCTAGTCACTGGTGAACACATGATAATTATCAGTGGTCTAACATCAATCGATTCATGATCTCAATCAAAAACTTAACAATCTCCACAACCCCTAAACTGATAATTACATATTTTATTGTGACATGACATTTTCAACAAGATTGATCTAGTCTACAAAGTATAACTGCAAACTAAAAGGTAGAATTAAACAAGAATAGACCCTGTTTGTTTTCTAATATTAATAAAAAGTTTGACATTAGATAAAGCAACTACCGAATCAATATTTATTCAGTCAGTCAGTTACAACGTAAGACAAGGCACATACATGCATCGGTTACGATACATCGAACATTTTGTCATTAAATCTGAAGCGAGTTTTGTCATTTAAATAAGCTTTTCCAAGAAGTTATCCGTTGTTATGTATTCATAGTTGAGTTTGTTGACAACTGAATTCCAATTCATTTATAATTCAAGAGGGGTGAGCTTGCCACTTGACTTTATAAATTTCGGCTTCATTTCAAAGCGAGTAGTCGGTGCATAATTCTATGTCCCGCTTTGGAAAAAAACAATTACTCTGTCTTCCTTGATGTGTTCTATTTACTTATCTAAATTTGATATGTGATATAAACTTTTAATGAAAAACTCTTTACAAACCTTCAAAACTAATTATTAAGTTTATTCACAAACTTCACAATAATCTTTTTCTAAAATAAATGCTGTGGTGAATGAAAACTCAGGTACTGTAAATCAATTCATTGTTTTATGCAAAATCGCACAGCGCCTTTGTAAAATATGGAAATCATATATTAAATATATAAGTTGAACATCTTCCTTCGGTTATCCTTTACATACTCTAACATTTTTCTAATTCTTCTATTATTCCGATTGCTAGGTGTTTTGCTTGCCGTTCTCTTTATTTCAATATTCTAACAGTAAGCATTTCAATTCCTATTCCTGCAAAACGCCACTTTTATCTATATACATAAGTGGTGAACGACACAATGTCATTATGAATTAAGAACTACATTATTTTCACTTAAAAGATTTTAAGCAATTAATACGAAACACTTCTAAATAGCTAGTACTGTTGAATGCTTAAGCAACTTGGCCACATATATTACACATATTATTTATGAAATTGCTGAACGTTTACTCATTAGTAAATAATTATTAATTCGATTAGAATTAACTTAATATTAATGATTATTCTACACTAGGAATTAATTAATTAATAAAAGTAATTAATTAATTTAATAAATTGAATAGGCATAGTTAATTAAATGTTTGTTTCTCTTTAAATCATGAAATAATAAGTATTAGACCATCATTGGTAACCTGGAACCACTGGACGGCCACTTCGTTCTAATATAGAACTTTTCGGAGATACGTATCCACGATACCGCACCAAAGGGACTCGAACACAGAACATTCGATCTCGCACGCGAACGCTTAAACTTGAGACCACTGAACCGCGATCCAATAGGGCTAATGTTTGACTTGAACCAATCCACGATATTGCGCGACCATCCTTCATTAACTTCAGTAACTGTTCCACACCCGACACGGTTGAACTTCAATTGTCACAGCATCTGACTAGGACTCTGAGAACAGTCTCTCAAAGCTAGTCACCGGTGAGCATATAATAATGATCAGATCGTTGAGTTATGATTGTGTTCATCAAGCGATCAATGTTAGACCACCATTAAAAACCTGGAAGCACTGAATGACCATTTCGTCCTAGTATGGATGCGCACTGTTGAGAAGTCCCACACTAGGATAAAACGGCTGTCAAGTGCTTTCAAGTTTTCAATGGTGGTCTAACATTGATCGGTTCATTATCTGAAATAAAACTCAACAATCTTCACAACCCTATACTGAACTTTATTTCTTCCGTTTAAAACATTATACAATTTTAAATAATTTGTTTTACTTACTTTATAGATGTCTCTTTTAATAATAATGATAATCTATGAAAAAATTGAATAACTGTTGATTGAATTATATAATAAAACACATTATGATGATATTCACATATTATTGATGAATTTTCAATTGAAATTATTCTCTCTGTAGGTGAATTAAAACAAGTTCCAATTGTTTTATTAATTGGTTTAAGAAATATAGTCAATAGATTAATTAAATCATTATTGTCAATTTGGAAATTACATAGTATTTCATTATGATAATGAAGAATGTATTTGTCGATAAGTTTATTCATTATCTGTGGAAATGTTTTTCTTAAAGTTTCTTTCCATTCCTGTAAGAAAAAAAAATTTAGGAAATTTGCAATGTTTAGAAAAATTCTAAGTTTTTTTCCAAACAAATAATTTATTTAACGATTTTAATGAAGAAATTCATTATCATCGAGTATTCAACGTTTATTTAATATATTTTAAGACACATATATCAAGAATATTAAATCAATAGGTGTTTTAGTGCAAATTATTAGAATAATCATGAATGAAGAGGCTGATAGGTCCTAGGTTCGAATCCCGCGAGGCGGGGTCGTGGACGCGCAATGCTGAGGAGTCTCACAATAGGACGAAACGGCCCTCCAGTTTTTCCAGGTTTTATATGGTGGTTTAGTATCTATTGACTCATGATCTCAACTATTGGAAATAAAGAAGTCATTGAACTTATAAATAGGAGCATATGAAAAATATTTTTCTATTTGGCAGTTATTAATTTATGATAATTTAGCAAATATAAAACTTAACAATTACACTTATTCGATGACGCTAGCTGAAGAATAGTTACAGGATGACATGAACGTCTTAGAAATGAAGATGTGGGGAATGGACTATTATACTGTGAGTAAAACTGTCACTTATCAACGATACAGAATGTTGTATCATGCTAAATCATGCATTGTTGACCATCAAATCTCAGCCAAATATTTAATAGGTAATTTCCTTTCCCAAACACATCAAAGTGTTGTGATTGATTCAGTGTAGATTTGAGTACTTAGTAAGACAAAAAAATGACGACTGCTTTTCGATTGTCGACCGTTCTACAAATGGTACTAGTTTACAGCAAACTGGCGAATGCTGGCGAGCGGCCTATGTTCCTTTATGAGGAGTGACAGGCGTAAGTAAATAAGTAAGAATTAAGAAACTAAATTGCATTTGATTCACAGAACTGTTTTCTATATTTCCATCAATAAAATTTGTAACAAAAAAACCAGTCATTTTTTATACCGATAAATAAATCAGTTACCATGATTTTTATTTTACTTAAATGCTAAAATAAACATTGAGCATCGCTTTTGTTTTAACTTATACGTTAACAAAAAGCGTATAAAGTCTCGTATAATAGAATTTCAATAATTACATACTGAAATCATGATTGCTTTGAGTAATAATTCAATCAAACAGTTTTGTTAGTTTGCAGTTATTTATAATTAATAAGATGATAGAACAAAATATATAAAAATTATATATATGTATATCGACACTTTTATGGTTCTATCAGAATAATAGTTTGTTTGTAGCAAGATAGATATCCTGATATATCAATAAAACGTTTCAAAAAATAGTTTATTACCATTATGCATCGATAATAAATGAAAGAATACTGAAAGAAAGAAAAAGTTGATAAATGTTATATTCTAGTTCAAAACTCTTCAGGAAAAATGGAGAATGCACGGCTTTACGATGAAAATAGTGAGACAGTAAATTAAATAAACTGATATTCACAGTGTTGTTGATTTGGGAATTTCAACACTATCATCATTATTTGTACAATAAGTTGAAAAAACATAACATCTGCTTGTTTCTTCAAAGTTTCTGCAACTGATGTCAGTTCGTCACAAAAACCAACTGATATTTGAACGTACCTTCAGAAAAGGCATTGTAAAATTACTGTCTTCATTTATTTTCGTGTTAGGATTACGACAAAAAGTACATCAATGTTTTCATGCGTGAGAGATTTTATTCTCCTCATGATATCAAGGGCTGCAACACATTAGTCTTTCTAAGTATTGAAAAGATTTACTTCAACGCTGCCGTCTATTCACGTTTATTTATTTGAGCTGTGTCCAGGATGCTGTTTTCATTCTGTTGTTATTCACACTGAGATTCTAGCGGAGTGTCCTGCTACTTAAACATCGATGCCCTATCCTACTGAGTTTAGATAGTCACTGGCTTGTGCAACTAACATGAATATGATTTATAAGAGTTCGTAAGTTTACTATGCACAAGTATCGCATTTTGAGGAGATAGGTATCCGATTCAAATTTCAGTGTATATATCAACTTTTGGATGTAAATACGTCCATTTGAGCAGTCCTAATTAGAACAAAGCGCGTGTCCTGGATTTCACCAATAGAATTTGTTTTAAACTAGTTTAGTAACATAAGAAATTTTCTGACACAACATAATGATTTTTGTATATAAAAAAGCCACACAAATAATAAAATTATCTCCAATTACAATAAAATATAAATAAACCGCATTATATTACATAACATAGAATTAGGGATGCTGACTTTAAGAATTAATGTTGGTCACAAAAATGTATTCCAACATAAATTTACAAACGTGACGTTACTTCTATTCAGAGGTCTTTTATTTTTACTAAAGGTACTACTCAAGCAAACTGATCATCTCGATAGTCTGGTTAACTATGAAACATAATAAATGATTACTTTAAATCTTCAGAAATTTCGCTTTTAAGAATAACAATCAGTTTATCATGATACTTGGTCGTAAGTTTGAGTGATGAATTATTTACTCCTACAGGTGTCTTTCAAAAAAATTATCCTTTTTCAATTTATGGAGTAATTAGTTTAAGTTACATCAAGAAAAACTAATCATGATAACTTCAAATAAAATGATACTTTAAAATGAGTAGATCTGTACAGAGTTCCAACTACAAACCTTCATATATTCTTCACATCATCAATGATATTGCAGTCAAATAAATAGTAATAAAATGAACCGAATCCCCACTCATAGTAACATCCGTTTAATTAATAAGATGACCAATGTTATCATCAGATAGTAATTTAGCGTGTTTTATGTTTCAAATTTAAAATAACCATCTATGAGTTGTGGGATATGAATATCGGTAATCCTATAGAATAAAATCCATGTTTTTTCACATGTTGAAATAGGAACTGAAAACCGTGAAGTCCAACTAATGTTGTGTACATTTTACACTTAAATGGTACCGTGAAAACTTTGTTTTCACTTATATACTAGAAAAAATATTTTCCTTCTATCAAGAATAATAACCAGTTTCTATATCCTTTTTTAGCGCAATTTAATCCGGTGGTAAGTTTTAATCGGACAGCAACAGAGAATGATATGAACCTAGTTCATAACTCTTTACATTTTTTAGTAATTTAAAAAACATTTCTGAGAAAATGACATCATTTCATTATAGACTTCAGTAGTTAGTCATCCTTTATAAGCGAAAAATAAGAGAAATGAAAGATTTGTAGCTTAAGTGAATGCTTTTAAATGTGTTATGTTCGCTGTGCTCAATGGCTTAATTATGAAGATTTTTATCATTATTCTAAACAATACTATCAGTAAATACTCTACGTAAGATTTGTCCATATTATGTACAGATTCCAGTGATTGTGTCTTCCTGTATAAAATATACTAAGTGTCATATTATAACCCATAGTTTTCAATCTCTACTCATAAAATGTTTAAACAACCAATAAAAATGTATACTTCACAAAATCAAACTTACCTTAATATTCTTATCTAATGATATCAATAAATTATTCACTTGACTTAATGTTCCTATTACACGTGCTAACCGTATTAGAACATTTCTGTCTACATTCAATAAGTTTGTTTTAATTTCAATTAGATCATCAAAATTACTATTTGATATTGTGGATGTTGTTCCTACTGATAATCTTGATGATGTAGTCGATGTTAAATTTGACAGAAAATATGAATTCATTGGATTAAATAATTGTTTGAATTCTTTCAGTATTTCATCATTTACATAATTATTTGTATAACCGAACCAATATAAAATACAACAGATGATATTATTAAAAACAATATCAGTTAAATTTTTAAAACATTTTATAAGATTTTCATAATGAATTAATAATAATTCAATATATATAGATTGTTGATAGTAATATGTAATTTGATTTATATTATTATCAATTATGTTTGTTTGTTGCTGGATAGAATGATTATCATCAGTTTGTTGTAATATAACATTCCAATTTTTCATACATTTGTTATATTCATTAAAACATATATTTTTTAACATAATGAGAAAACGTATAAAAATGACATCTAAACGTCGTGTATATTCATAAGCTTTGTATAATTTTAATAATAGAGATTTATATGAATCAGGTATGGAAATATCGAAATGATGTACAATTGATGAGATACCTGTTGAAATAGAAAAATAAGAAAATCACAGTGGAAAAGGAAATAGTTTGGAAAAAAAATATTCATTAATGAATTTAAGAAAATATCATGCTGTAAAATGTTTAGTTTAATTGAGACCAAGGATTAGTGAAATAAAATGATAAAGTGGATACGATAATTGTATGTAACATTAAATATTCCAACTTTTGAACAAACATTACGTTCATATATTCAGCTAACATATTTTTTCAAAAAACACTTATTTAAAATTATAACATATTGTAGAAATCTGAATTATACCGTTGAATGTTTAGTAACATTATCGGTATCGTTTACAAGGTTAGACTTGATAATTTTGAAAAAATTAAGCACTGAGTAGATCGAGTTGACGAGTCACATATAGGATAAAACCTGTGTCCTGAATTCCCTCGCTAGTCAACATCTATCTCTGCTTATAATGGTCGAGTAGAATGTTAATAATAAAACAATTATATACTTTTCTTAGTAGGGAATCATTAAGATAGCTTTTAGAATCATGATAAATGAATGAATAATAAATCTTCAGATTTGTCTGTAAAGTAGATTAGAGCGAATATAAACTATATGTTAGATTCCCATACCATTATATTTGCATTCAGAATATTGAACAAGATACATTATTTATTATAAAATCTAGCCTAAAGCGTTTAAAATGTAATTACTTATAGTGAATTAATTGAATGTCATGTTACATTATAAATTTACAACAGTTGCTTTCCATTAAAAATAGGATTAAAATAGCTCTTAGTTATTGACAGATTTGAAGCTTGTTTCCATTGTATTTATCCTAATAAAACTGTCCAAAGAACACAATCATTTATGTACTCTTAAACAATTCCATCTACATTTTGACTCATAATTATTTAATTTAGTTTAATCAAATTGTTAAATTGTTTTGTGAAATGAAGAAAGAAACCCCGATTGTCTTCTTAATACATCACAGTGTCAGTGATTATTTTTCAAAAAAAACAAATTGAAATTTATTACATAATTCCAATGTAAAAACAATTTTAACCAACGATTAATTCAATTTTATTAACAAGTGTTATACAACACGAATAAAATTGAAATGAACTTCTTTTGATGATATACTTGTTCTTAATTAAATCCTAATTAGTAATTAACCTTTTCAAGATGATGATCAAGAAGTTACTTAGAAATCTAAAACACATTTTACTTGGAAATAAAATTTTATTATTTTTTCTCAAACAAATAAGTTTCACTTGTTGAAATCATGAGTCAATTGAAAACAGACCACCATGGAAAACCTGGAAGCACTCCAACGCCGCTTCGTCCTAGTATGGGACTCCTCGGCAGTGCACATCCACGATCCCGCACCCCGCGAGATTCGAACCCAGGACCTATCAATCTCGCTCCAGGCGCTTAACCAACTAGACCACTGAGCCGACATCCAACGGTGTTATTATCTGACTGCAACCAATCCACGAGGCTGGGTTCGAATCCCGCGGGGTGCGGGGTCGTGAATGCGCACTGCTGAGGGGTCCAATACGGGGATGAAACGGCCGTCCAGTGCTTCCAGGTTTTCCATAGTGGTCTAGCTTCAGTTGACTTATGATTTCAACAAGTGAAATTTTGTAGAAATCTCCGCGAAACCCATTCTGGTAAATGAATAAGTTTAAAACAATTAGTCCCTTTGATAAATTTCGATAATGATATTAGAAGACGAAGATTATCAGAACTATGTGCTATATTAGCGCAATACATTTCGAACAATCTTACCCCGTTTCCTGTCTAGTCGACCTTTTATTTTTTTATATAAATGCTCTTAACAAGTATATGTGTGACCAGATTGTTCGAAATGTATTGCGCTAATATATCACATAGTTCTGATAATCTTCGTCTTTTAATATCATTATCGAAATGAATAAGCGTTTGATATAACAAAACAATAATGTCTATAAAAATGAATATCATTTGAAAATTATACTTTAAAACTGGTAATCTATTCACAGTTGCCTTAGATACTGTCTGGTAATCGGTAAAATTTAGTTAAATTAAATGATCATTTTGCTACGAGAAACAAATGATCGTCTGTATTGGTTGTTTGAATCTTACCACTGATGTTTAAACCTGCAATTGGTCAGTTTCTTCTTTGTATGAGTACATCTGGTGTGGATTGCCTCAATATTGCTAGTAAGTCACAAACATTTTAAGCAGAGATGGATGGTGGCTAGAAATAGAATCAGAGACGGGCGTTTCTTTCAGAGTTGATGTTCACCCTCTATCCCTACTTATTGGCCAAGAGAATAACGCGATGTTATTTGGAGAGAGCAGTAACAGTTTCGAGTTCCGGATTGGACATCACTTTGGGATTCAGATACAACCAACTGATTAGTCACAAACAAGTCCTGGACTCCTCTTCTATTGAACATCCATCTTGCATTACAAATGATCGTCTGTTTACTTGGTTATTTATAATGGATAAGTAGAGTTTATTAAACCATTTATTACATTTAATAAAAATTTAGAGAAAAAATAATCACTTTAGCAAATATATTTCATTCAGCGAAACATCTTTAAGTTAGTCTCAAGGCAATGAAACCATTGAAAATTAATTTTGATGGTTTTAATGTAAAAATAACGTTCACTTATCTATCGAATAAGATTACGACAGCTGTTCAACTTAAGATAAGTTCACAGATATCTATTATATCCAATATACATACAAATAGGCAGTGAAATCTGTAGTAGTATAACATCTGTTCTGTGATTAGAATGATATCATATCTTGATGATATAATTAAAGCTGTTATGAAAGTCTGTAATTTTTTGAAAAATCCAAACGTCAACAAAATTTATTAAAATGAATTCAGTAAAAATTCATATTCAGAAATGCAGAAGGTAACAGTGTTTAGTACAGAATAATAATTAATATAACATAATAAAATAGATAACGCATGAGGATCTATTTCAATGGAAGTTAGTTTTTGTGACAGGCTAATATCAACTCAAAAGGTATTAGCAAACAGAAAACATTGCAATTGCGGTTGGTTAAAGTTTGTAAATCCGTAACAGTAATCAGCTAAACAATTTACTCAAATTCATTCTGTATTGTTTGTTTGAAACTTCTCATTGACATTTAGGACTGCAATTGATCAGTCTCACACTGGCATATGTGCATCCTGTACGGATTGCCTCGATATTCCCTTCAGTCATAAGCATTATAAGCAAAGATGGATGACAGCTAGCAGTGGAATCTAGGACGAGCGTTTCGTGCTACTTGAAGCTATCAGAGCTCAGTAGCAAAGTGGATAACGTGTTGGCGTTTGAAGCAAACGGCATTGGGTTCGAGGCCCGGATTGAACTATAACTCTTAGATGCATGTGTGTACGTAACACAAATATTTCGAAGTTCATGATTACGTCTTTAATACTAACTGATATTGGTTTCGTCAGAAAAATTATTTATCCAATTATCGACCAATTAGTTTTTATGATGTTAACAAAGCTGTAAATAATTTTTCAAATACTTTCTATATAATTTTTGTGTAATATGTCAATGAAATACTCTTAATCGTTATTCGGTTGCTAAGTATGCTAGTATATGTCTAAACAACTGAAATGTAAAATATCGATTGGGAATTATAATTTACAATAGCACATTATACGTTGTTAATCCATAAGTAATAGTTGTCTGCAATTTTGATATTTATTACGTAATAGTTCGATGTGTTATTTATCTAAACTGACAAATTATATTTGTAATAATGTTTTAAGCTATTGGAAAAAAGTTTACTTCTGGATGAGAATATTACCTGTCTTTTGGGCATTATAAACAACACACCAGCATATTATTATTGTTCTGATAAGAAATTAGCACAATCCAGAAAGATCAGTAAAAATGAACAAGGTACTTTTCATATGTGACATTACTGTATTGGCATTTAGTTTTTGGTTACCATTTCATAAAATAAACCGATCACGATTTGTTGATACGATAAAAAATATGAATGACGACAAAAGAGTGGGTTGATTCATATTAGTCGATAAGTGATTTAGCAAATGATTACAATTTTATAACAATTATTAAATAAACGATTCCATGAATTGCTTCAAAGTTATGATTTTAAGAATTTTTAAAAACGGAGAAATCATAGAAGGAGACAAGTAAAGAATGTTAGTTTTAAGTGCATTTGGATAATAGCTGGTATTTGTGTTTAGCATACACGTTTCGCCTAATTTGAAACTCATAACTTAGATGTATCTGAATCCTAGCGAATATGTTCATAGTAAAACTCGAACCCCAAAATCTGAAAGCCAGTATCAAAACAATCATGACAGAATGCACATATACTAATACAAATTGATTAATCCATGTTCTTTATGATAATCATGAAATTTCATATTCTCACAAATATTAAAGAGTTTTGACGTAAGAGTAAAAAAGAGCAAAGGTGTAAAAATTTCAAACAATTTTGTTATTGTGTTAAAATGTGGTTTACAACAAGAAATACAATGAACATGTGTTAGTCAAATGCACAAACCATATAGACCAATTAGTATGGCAAGAACTGAAACACTGATTTTAATTCATTTCAGGTTAAACGAGGTTATTTGTTTTTGTGTACTGTAAATGCATACTTGTAAATCCGACTAACATAGAACTAAACGCAATGGAAGCATATTAACAGTTAGATGTAAATGTACTGTAAATAAGCATCTAAATATAGAACAAACTGGCAAACTAAAACTGAACAAGGCATGATGTAAAGCATTGAGTATAAATTTGTTTCTCCTTAGTCAGGTTAAATAAATCTGAAGAATTTTGGAACAGTGGATTTGTGGAAGATTTTATCTATTGCACAGTCATTAACTACTGGTTAAGCGTCACTAATTCGTGAGTAAAAATGTTCGTTACATAAGCTGACATCAGGTAAAGAACAGTGTAAAGTCGAAAGGTGTTGAACACTTGTTTCACTCTGATACGAGGCTATGACTGATAGATTTGAGTTATCTGAGGAT